CAGAACTGGGTTTAATTATGTCATAATAACACTTAAACGAAACTTGTTCACATATCCAGGAGAAGCTCTGAATGGCTTCTTACTGCTGCTCCAACTCTGCAGCCAAAGGGAATTAACAATAGGGATTACCTCCTGCTGACTGGCCCCACTGAAGTTATCCAGGGCTCTGGAAGTGACACAGATTGGAGAAAAAAAAAAAAAAAAGAAAAAAAAACACTATTTGAGAGAAACAAGTTCAATAGTTATTTTATTCATAGCTATTGATTTCCAAGAGACATAACCCAGATTTTAGTAATCCATAGCGACATGCATTACCAAATCTGAAATCAGGACTTCCTTCTTCTAAGCCTTTTAAACAGTTTCAGAGTATTTCCCATGGCTTTCTAGTAGTAGAAAACAATTTATTTGGAACTTCTGAGACAGAGCTTTTGACAAGAGCACAGGGGTAACTTGCTTCCTCGATCTGCTGGAGGTCCCTGTGCAAAATTCTAGAAAGTTCTTCACCAAGAAGGTTACAGGGACATCACCTTCATGCATTTGGTAAACTTACAAATGCACACCTAAAAGGTGAAGCTAAAGGGCAGTCTACATACAATACCATTTACTTGGTCAAACAGCTTTACTGACAGTATAGAATGTGCTCTTCTGTACTTCTTTGAAATTTCTAAATTAGATGTAAAAAAAACTGCCATCTGGAAGTTTTATTTGGTCTCAAGAAACAACATATAATCACTATTAATATCAAGCAGTCACTGCATCTGTCATTATCTCCTAGTTCCTGCAGTTTACCTTTCAAATGGACGAATCAGTGCAAGAAGAGAAGTCACCATTGCTGCATACTGATGGGATTGAACTAATACACACCATCAGTTTCACAGGCTTTCTCTCTACTGATGGCAAAAGTGTTTTTGCTACCCTAAACTTCTAGCCATATGCATGATGTAAACATTGTTGATCCAGTATAATTAGGTTTTAGTATTTTTGAGAATTTTATTTTTTCTAGTTGTCTTTTTTCCTGAAGAACCTCAAGCCAGTTTCACCCATCTGTATAATTTCTTTCACTCTGTCTATTTTGAGACAATAAAAGCAGGAAATATCTCATTACATACATGCTCCATATTTAGTGCAACAGGTTCACAGGCTCTAATGAGGTTAAGCGAAAGAACAGTATTCTCTGTGGGAAGTTAGAAGTTTGCCAAAATCCCTTAAGCTGGTCATGAGAAGATATATGTTGCACTTCAGCCAAATAAATTAATCACTTTGGTTTAAATATATGAATCAAAAGATTTTTATCACATCAATTCACCGATAACAGTGTTCTGATTTTTATTTTGAACTGATTCTTACTGAAGTACTGTGTTCAGCTGCAGTGTCCCCAGCACAAGGAGGACATGGACCTATTAGAACGAGTCTAGAGAAGGGCCATGAAGATGACCTGTGAAGACAGGCTGAGGGTTTTGTGGTTGTTCAGCCTGGAGAAGAGAAGGCTCCAGGGAGGCCTTACAGCAGCCTTCCAGTACCTAAAAGGGGCCTACAGGAAAGCTGGAGAGGGACTCTGTTAGTGAGTGGAGTGAAAGGACAAGGGGCAATGGCTTTAAACTAAAAAAAGTTGATTTAGATTAGATATAAGGAGGAAATTATTTACTGTGAAGGTGATGAGGCACTGGCACACGTTGCCCAGAGAAGTTGTGGAAGCCCCATCCCTGGCAGTGTTTAAGGCCAGGTTGGGTAGGGCAACCTGGTCTGGTAGGAGGTGTCCCTGCCCACAGCAGGGGGGTTCAAACTAGATGATCTTTAAGGTTGCTTCCAATACAAACCCTTCTAAGATTCTTTGATAAGCACACCTGAACTACTAGAGCAAATTAGTCAACTGCTTATAACTGTTCTTAAAGACCAGGCTACCACGCTAAACTGTTTCCCAAAATACACTGTGAACTTCCCATGTAATTGTCATAGTGCAAAAAGGAACCTTCAAAGAGTAAAATATCTTCCACCAGAGTCAAGAAAATTGGTGAATCCTGCCATTTTTACTGAGCATTCATTTGATCTACCCAAATGATCTGCTTTAGTGTTCCTTTTGATTTGGGCAAGAAAAAAAAAAAAGCATTGTGCATGGGAGAAACAACAGAACATAAGGAGTCTGTTTTTCTGTGGTGAGGACGCTGATTCTCAAACACAGGTGGCAGCACACCCTCAGCAGGGGAACCCACATCACTTGTTCTGCTATTAAATTCCTTGGGCACCTCACATTTTAACATCTCTATCCTACTGTCAGTTTGGGTGAAGTGATCTATGAATGAAGGGCACTGATACATAAACCCTTTTCACTACAGGAAATAAATTAAAATCCCAGCTTTCAAGACTTTCTAGACCCCTCTCCACTAGCTTGGTTTGAGGCCAGCTACTCCAGAGCATGTCCATTCTCAAGGGCACCTCTAAGTTCACTTATTGTTGAAATTTTGCTTCGAAGTTTCCAAATTGAAGTCCAGCCTGTTCAGATGTCTGTGTAACTGCAGTGCAAGCAACTCAGATTCAGAACTCATGGCCTTTAGTTCCCCACCTATGACATAGCATCTGTTCTGTGTATACTGAAAAATATTAGGTATGGAAAACATATACATCCTAAGTAGTTTCTTACTAATATATTAAAGCCTGTTTTTACTGCACCAGTATTATCCAGGAGACTCTGTATGTCAAATCACATACCAATTCTTCCTGAATCCATTCATGAATTATTCTTGAAGGCCACAGACCTTAGTATTAGTACTTGGGAGATTGTACAAATGTTTAAGGAACACTATTTTTGTAGCATCTACTACTATTTTACCATTTTATCCACTGTCACTAAGCTCTTGCTGTGTGCAAGTCAGAGTACAGCATTAGCTACCTGCTGTTTACTTGAGTACTTGTGATAAAAACAGTGTATCACACTTTGTTAGACTTTAGTTAAGAGAACACAAGATGTTTAAAAGCATGCTCCCAGAGCCAAGTTCAGACTGCACCAGCTTAGCAGGTGTTTTGCTGTAAACGGCCAGTAACAGAGTAGACAAAAAGCAGCAAGGCAGCCTTACATGTTTACCTGAAGCCTTTGATAGCTCTTGTTTACAGGGTATTTCTATTGCTTGCCCCAATGCTGTTTTTTCAGTAGCTGTATCTTTGACACGGTTGTATATTAAAAAAAAAAAAAAAAAAAAAAGTAAAAAATTCAGAAGAAATCGAAACAGTGTAATACTTAGAGAATCTGGACAAAAAGCTTTGGGTTGTCTATGACCTCTTCCATGTCTCTACTACTGCATTTTTCAGGTTCAAAATGCAGTTTTTATTTAAATAGACAACTCAGAGGAAAAAAAAAAAAAAATCCAAATAACATAGCTGGTAAATACTTCCATCTCAAAGTAATAAAGAGTCCAGTTCTGGGGATTGGGTACAAAATTGGGCACTGAAGACTTCTTAAAACAGTGGGTAAGATAGGGAGTGATGCAAGCCTTTCGTAAGAGAACCATAATACAATGGAAACCACTAACCTAACATCCTCACTAGCAGAAGTGAAATCTCTTATTTCATGAGATCCAATGCATAGGCTTTGCCTCCACTGCAAACACTGCAGTGAAGTTCTATGCACCTTAGCAGTGCCTGGAAGTGCTCAGAGTAAACTGCACCTAGTATCACATATTAAGACAAGAACCCCACAGAAACAACTGACTAGTAAAAACTGGACACCAATCAAGTCTGTCATCTGCTCCAAATCCAATGTGGAGCTGCAACAGCACAGAATCACAAGCAACAAGCGCCAGTAGTCAACTTCCGTAATAAAGTATGTGCCTTCGTTTCACAGCTGTTTACCAGCCCAGCCCGCTGCTGTCACGAGAACCTCAACCATGGCAGCAGCATCCAGCAGCTGCCCCATTTGCCACTCCCACCCACCAGTGCACAGCCCCTGTTCTGCAAAGAGCCACTCACTCCTTCACCTCCTCAGCCTGCAGCCAGCAAAGTCCTCTTTGGAAGAAAAAGAAAAGAGATAGAAAAGGAAAGATAAAAAGACAAAGAATAAAAGAAAATAAAAAGAAAAAAGAAAAAAAAAAAAGAAAAAAAAAAAGGAAAAGAAAAAAAAGAAGATAGGTTAAAAAAAAGAGAGAGAAGAAAGAAAAAGAGAGAAAAAGATAGAAAGGAAAACGAGAAAGGTAGAAAAAGAAAACGAGAAAGATAATAGGAAAAAAAAAAAAGGAAAAGAAAAAGATTATAGAAAAAAGAGAAAGATGGAAAAAGAGAAAAAGAAAGAAAATGAAGACAGTGGTTGCGTGAGTAGATAGATAGATAGATAGATAGATAGATAGATAGATAGATAGATAGATAGATAGATAGATAGATAGATAGATAGATAGATAGATAGATAGATAGATAGATAGATAGATAGATAGATAGATAGATAGATAGATAGATAGATAGATGCGGTACTTGCCGCAACAGCTGCTCTCCGTGCGCTGCCGCCGCCGCGCTCCGACCGCCGCTGCCTGAGCCCGCGGGTCGGATTTATAGCCCGCGCCCCGCCCGCCGGGCGGCGCTGCCCGCCGCCACCGCCGCCTCCCCGCCGGGAGCACGGGGCGGGTCGCCACCCGATCCGCCGCTCCGCCTGGCCCTTCCCGGCGCCCCAGGGCTCCCCCAGCCGCCAGCCGATGCCTGCAGCGGTTACAGCCCGCACGCCTGTTCCGCGCAGGGTCTCTGTATGGCAGCTGGCCCCCTCTCTTAACCCCACGTCCGCCCCTTTCCTCGGGGTCGTGCAGCCCAGGCGGGGGGAGAGGCTGAGGGCTGAACGGCTGAGACCTTCTGCCCCGCTTCACGAAGTGTTTACTATGCGGGGTGTAGTGTTTCACACAGTTCGATGAGGAGAGGGGAGTTTGAACAGGTTTTCCCAGTGGCCAAAGAGGAGCATTCCTGGGAAAAGATGAGAAAAGGACTGCAACTGGGGTGTTCTGGCACAGGTGGTCAAAATCATGCGGATGTGTGTAATCCTATATAAAAATAAGTCTGTTTACCAAATCTTGAATTGCAAAACTTATGCTCGTATATTACCATCACCACTAGGAATGAACACTGATTTCAGTAGAAACAAAATAATGCCTTTGTATGTTTCTGATGAAGTTCAGAGGGTACAACGGGTGCAACAAGTGCTGTGTGAGTTTCCCAGAGAACAGCTCTTTGGCAAGAAGCGCAGCTAATCGTTTATTCCAAAAAGGGGCCCTAGCCTGCTGAGTAAAGAATATCTCTATATACACAGTTCTGCGTGTAACTACCCGCGAAGGGACAGGTTAAACTGTGACAGACCGGGCTGCTTCTTCTGTGACTTTTTGTAAAGCGCACTTACTCCATGTGTGTGATTTCACTTAACAGCCTCACTTTTATGACAGGTTACTCTGCCCCAAACTGATGAAATCCACAGAATGTTATCATACTCCCTCGTGTAGTGGCTTGAAGACAAAATCAGAAATTCCTGAAACTCTGGTAAGCTCTCTGCCTTTGTTTTCTTGCTACACAATAAGCTTATTAAGTCTAGTCTACAAAAGCTTGCTGCTGTTCAAATGCATATTAGCTTCTCTCCTTCTAACCCAGCTTCTGCACCTGAGTCAAAAGTGCCAACTTTGGAAAAAGAACCTTGGAAAACTGGTTCCTATTTCACCATGTTGTACAGCTCGCGCTATGAAATATTATTGTTTAATAAATCTAATTTCTTATCAGCTTTTCTTACTTTTGATTAGTTAATGTATGCAAGGATGAAAAGTATTTCTAAAACAACAAAAGAGAAGCATTTGTCATTCTAAGACAAACAAAGCTGCTTTGTGCATGCCTTTTTTTTTTTTTTTTTCATAAAAGGGCTAACCTTTTTCATACTCATTTTAAACTACAAGGCCAGGAATCCAATGAAACCATGAAAAATAATTTATAACTGAGCCAAGTTTGAAGTCGGATCTTCAGAATGAAGTCATCTAATCACTGGCTCACTGTGTTTGTTATGGAAGATCTGTCTAGCGCAGTGGCTCCTAAAGTTATGGAACAAGTGCAAATACTAGAACAAGAAGATGGGCTTGACTAATTTTCCAAGGGATTAATCCTTCCTTCATCTGATCATGAAACAAAATCCTAGTTCAGAAGCATTCAGTCCTTCAGAAAACAGATCTGGGTCAGTGTCTGAACTATGTGGTCTGGCCTACCCTCAAGCAGTTTTTCAATCTGCTGTGCTTGGCCGCTTTTTAGGGAAGGGGCCAAAAGCTCCAGAGATTCAAATGGAATGAACCATTCCATGGGCAGCAAATGAAGATTTCTGCAGTAAAAACAAGTACTGAGCTTGGAATGAATGAGAGAACTGGCATAAAGTGTTTTATTTTGCTTTGACCTTTGCAGTTTGTTATTTAGAACACATGTAGTGTTGGACTCTCAAAAATATTGGAGACAGACAGGCAGAAGCCCCCAGGAGCTGGTAGCTGCTAGCCCAGGTAAGTAGGAAAGCCTGTGAATGTGTGCAGCCAGACTGAGCCCTCGCTAGTTCAAGCACTGTTCCTACCTATTTTGTTAGTTAAAAGACTGAGAATAACACAGTGATTCACAATGTCTTTTGAGGGTGATTGGTGGATTGCAAAAGAAAATGAAGTCATTCCAAAAATCCAAGTTAGGAAGTATTTTACTATGTGAAGATGTAATTGCTGAAGTTTGTACTCAGAGTGCCAAATCCTGCAATGTGCCAGAAAGGAGCACAGCTAAAGCTTGGGGAACATCGTTCCCCTTGGCTTCAGACAGTCTCCTTAGAATGCAGGTAGGAAAAAAAAAGGAATTTCAAGGCTTAATTTGCTTGAGTGGCACTGCTGACAATGCAGTAGCCACTGCCTCGGTGAGATTTTACCCTGTGTTGGGCTGCATAACTGCTCACACTGCATTCCCATAGTGGCTGAGTGGCTCACGTACCATTAGCAGAACATGTGGAGACATGTAGTTTAGGAACCACTGTGCTAGGGAGACAGTCAAGCTGCCACCCACATGGGCCAACTGGCAAGCTAATGAGCACTTCTGCTATAAATGTTTTTTTATTATTATTTTTTGATTTTTATTTTTTATTTTTTATTTTATTTAATAAAACAGATTTATGTAGCTGGCATGCACTTGCCCTTTTCAAATCAGCATCTCTTTGAGAAATAGCTGTCCAGTCACTATGTTCATTCCTTTACCAGATCAACCAGGTTGCTCAAACTCGACTGAAAGCACCACTACTCTCCAGTTCTGTCTATGACTTCCACTTGAGATAACCATACCAATCTCCAAGATTTTTAAAAGTGAAGTAAACAAGTCACTGATTTACTGTTTTACTAAACTGGGCTATTGCACACCTGAAGGCACATATGCACAGAGAAGGGAAATGGCATACTTACATGCTAGAGAAAGATTCCTGTTCAGTACATAATAATATGTGCTAAGCAGAAACCTGCCAATGTGCTCAAATACCTGGAAATAACAATATTTTAGCATTCAAATAGCACTTTGAAGCCATTTACTAATCAATGCTTACAAGGCTCCAGGAGAAAGAGGATGGAGCAAATGAAGAAAGACCAGAGTAGAGACCTAATTCGAAGGGTAGCAACAGAATCTGTCTCAATGCTATGAAAAGAGATTTTAATTATGAGACTGTTCTTCTTTCCTTAGACATTATATTTATTGCTATGCCAACATTAACACAGGAAATTTCAGTAGTTGTGCTGCTACAGCAAAGAAGGAAAAAGAGTTGAATGAAGTAGGAACACAACATTATTGTTGTTATTAAAAAAAAAAAAAAAAAAAAAAAAACCAACTCCTTTACTTTAGAAAGATTTCTGCACGCTATTTACATTTAAGCAGTGGTAATATTATTAGTCACTGCAAGAGTAACTGGGTGTTCCCTTGTTCTCACTGACAATACAGCAGGGATAATTTTGGATTAAGCTACATGTTTTATGAAAAATATACTTGATGTTTGCTGGTTCATGTCAAAAGAATTCCCTGTGTGACCCATCAAATATCACACCTCATCCGGGGGGAATTTTATTCTACTGCAGCCTTTTGTTGTTGTCTTTGGATCCCTTGATGTTGTTGACATGTAGCCATACGGATCAGTTGTTCTCCAAAAATTATCCAATGCAGCTTTGAACCAAGGCACCGACCTCAATAAAAATTATAAATAAATAACACAACAGATCACAGATTCACATGCCCTTGTCACAGATTTCCCTGATATTATTCATATCCCCACATAAGTACTTATTTCCAGTTTGGAAACTGCTTTTGGCAGGTTTATCTGGTTCAGTAAGAGCATAGATGTGGGGTGAGTCATTGGTCTTGCAATATGAACTTCCTACCATTTGCAAAGGAAGTAGCAGATTTTTAATTTTATTTATTTATCTATTCATTGGGGGGAGGGGGGCTGGGGGGAGGAGGGAAAGGGGTTATTTGTTTAGAAAACCAGAGTTTTCTCTGCGTATTAATTTGATGAACGAAGTAGCTGGTTTGGGTTTTGATTTTTGTTTTGTTTTGTTTTCAATCAGTATGTACCTTCAAGAGATTTCTGTGGAGCATTTTGCCAAGATGAGCATTTTTTGCAGGACATTCTGTGAACTGGGGTGGGACCTATGAGCAAAATTCACAGCAGGACTCAATTGCGGAGTGACAGGGCTCCCCAGCTCTGCATTCAGCACTCAACGCTTTCACTTCGATGCATGGGAACTACTAAGTGCCTAAGAACTGGTTTTCTGAGAAGTCAACATTATGAGTGCTAAATATTAAAGCTAGCCAAAAGAAAGTGCCAAGAAAGACAAGATCTAAAATAGACTTTATGTTTATTTCCACATAAGGTTTTTGGCTCTGAGTTTTTGGCTCTGAGAAAAAAAAAAAAAAAAAAAAACTATAGTCTGTTAGTTAGTGCTTTCTCCAGTACTGCTGCAGTGTCCATAACCTACAGATAGTGCAGGCATCTGAGAGACTCAGTTTCAGATGCTCATGCAGTTAGGTTTGAGCACAGTTCTCCTGCTTACCAGGAAAAAGTCGTAACCACAGCCTAATGGGTAGTTATATACCCATTGCACAACATTTTCCTTGCAGTTTTTCTTGTTGAAGCTGCTAATGCATTTTGTAAAAATTCATCAAACTGGAAGGGAGAAAAAAAAAATAAAAAGAGAAGATTTTTGTTCTGAAGCTCACAGATGTCATTGCAAAGGCAAGGAGATTGTTCTACATCCCTACTACAGTTAGAAAGACTTGCTGCATAATACCCTGATACTTCCACTCCTCCTTTAAATAGGGCTCAGATTGCAATGTCTACATTAAAGCATGTCTCTCACACCAAGAACACATTAACTTTTTCCAAGCTGTCTTTTGTGCAGAGATTAAGCCAGGAGGAACTCTCTGAAACTTGTACACAGTTAGACAAAAGGGAGGAAATCCCAACTGGGGTTTCAGTTAACATCTAGAACAGCTCCTCTTCCCAGGATGACAATGGTTTCACGCATATCAAGCAGTGAAGACCAGCATTTCCTGGGTTTGGTAGTAGTCCAATAAGGGTTTTAAAGGTTTCAGTGGTACCCATGTTTTAGACTTAAGAGGTTCAGGTGAATTCAGCTTGCACGTTTGCCACAATTGGAGTGCAATGCACTGTTACTATCTTGCCTATTTAACCTCAAGTTTTCCACTCAGGCAAGTTCTTTGCTACTATCTATCTTGCCTGATTTAAAAATAAGATTTCTACTGAGGCAGGTTAATTGTTTTTCTCTTCTTTGTCACCTGCTTGCCCCTGAGCTGAAGCAGCAGCAAAATGCCGTTCACACTGTCCTCTGTGGAGCTGTTGAGCTGTTTGTTTGCTGATGGCCCCAGCAGGAAATGTTTGGTGACCAGGTATATAACTGCCCTCTTGTTTGCCCAGTGGGCTAAACAGAAGTCTATTTGGGGCTTCTGGAGATTAAAAAAATTGGTTTTGTGGGTACCTGATAGCCCCTTTCGTGAGGTTATTTAGGCCTGCTGGAGGAATATTGCAGTCATAAGACCTGTCTACGTGTTAAACACACACACCTGTATGTACAATCATATAGTGTTTGTTTCTTTAGGGATCTAGGCTAAATACACAGATGAATGTACTAGTTCCAATGCAGGTATAGCTTTACTGAGCTGGCATGACATGTTATTCTTTTCTTACTCATGTTGATTCTTTTCATGCCAACTATGAGCAGGCAAGGAAATAGAGAGAGCTGCTTTAACTGTGAACTAAAAGCAGTACTGCAACCCTACACAGTAGGCAGGAGGAATGAAATACTGCAAGTTATAAATGAGCAGAAATTCTTCTCAGCTCTCAAAGGTGGATAATCTTCTCCATCCCATAGCCAACAAGAAACTTTGCATTAATAAGAATGGATATACTTTGGCTAAAGAAACCTAATTAGAGAGTACTCCCTTCAGCATTTGCAACTACCATTTTCCATTCTTTTTCTAAAAGTAGCGTCTTTAATGCTCTTCCAAAAAAAATGGTCTCCAAGAAGACAAGCTACACAGGTCACTAATTTCTGAAGCACTGGATAAGTAGAGAATTTTACAGAGCCCACCTGATGCCAACAGTTATTCATCTACAAATTATAGCATCAGTAATCCTTCTTCAATCTACCAGGCCAATGTCTTGGAGTGCCAGGAACCTGTATCCCCACTCACTGAGTAGGAAGAATTTGAACATCAGTTGCAATTGCTGTCATCTGCTGAAAATTCAATGCCAAATTTAAGGATGTACTTTTAAGTTGCACATGCCTTTTCAGAAAATCTGATTTCACCTATTAGGAAATAGAAATAGGGATTCTATATACTTGAGCATTTAGAGAAAAACCCCATGTACATCCACTCTAGGAGAGAATTAGGGATGTTCAAACTGTGATCATTTGTGGTCAAGTCCTGCAAGTCAGGACAAGCAATATGTGTCAAACCTGGAGATTTCCACTCATTTATATAAAACAGACTTTGAAGAGACTCGTTCTTCAGTAGAGACGTGACCAGGGAGGTGCAGGATAGAAGTGTCTGCTAAGTGACATGATAAGTTAAGTAACATGATAAGTAACATGATAAGTTAGGCCATTCAGACCAAGAGATCATAGGACCTGGAAGCCACCAGAAAACCTCCTCAATCCAAACACATTGGTGCCTGTCACATCAGTCTACAACTCCTATACTGACCCAGACAGAAGACACTAAATGCAATTTGATGTCTTTTTGATTCTCTGTGATCTTTATTTGGCTAAGAAAAATTGTTCCAAACCTGAAGTACCAGTACACCCCTCTCTCTCTTTATACCCCATCTCTCATGATTATTTTTTGAAAGAAGTTTTTTTTACTAGCTATAAATCTGGAAAATAATTCCCTCCCCTTCGCCTCACCTCCCACTCAGTCTTGCTGGGGCGTTGCTATACACACAAATATAGAGGCACGAATACATGTGTGTGTAACCAGAATGCTTTCTTCTTCACAGCTTCTCTGAAGTAATATCAAATACATATCTCAGATGAACTTTGGAACCCACCAGGCTCAAGATGGTTTGAAACCAACCAAAACAGGCTGGGTGGTGCCCATCAGTTTAAGGAGCACCTAAGTAAGTACAAATCAGAATTCTCTCCAATAAGGGAGAGCTGGTAAAAAGGCCTGATCAATGCCTAATCTTCCTAACACTGTAGTAACATGCCCTCTGCTTCAAAAATACACTTAAAAATATATACCCTTTTGGCCTGTGCATAGATTTACATAGCAATAACACAGCCAAGCAATTAACTAAAAGTAAGTCTGGTTCTGCAAGACAATTTCCTAAATGGCATGTATCACTTGAAATCAGTTAGATGACTACAGCTCTCTTTTGGTTATAAATGCTGTTCTTATAGCTTTGAACCCAAGGTCACAGAAGCACGAAGTATTATCATGGCACCGTGTCCTCACAGCTGGCCACACCAACAGGCCTGGGACCAAGTGCTTTTATATGTTCATAGTTTTGGGCTTCTGGGCATAAAACACAGTCGCCTATGTAACAAATACCTCATGTTTCTTCCCTGTCCTGTGTTCAGGTAGAGAAGATGGAGGTTGGTTCCCTTCTTACAGGGGAGAGACTTTGTTGTAAGAAGAGCGTGCTGCAGAGGACATAGGACACAAAGAGTGACTACTGATTGCAATGTGGTTTACAGGGTCTCTTTAGGCATCTTTTGACAAAGACCAGGTATGCTGTTTTAAGAGGAAATAATGGAGTACGGACAGGAGAAGAGAGCAAAAGAAAAGCTGATTGGAGTTCTTTCAGTAAAACTGGACTTTATTATTATTATTATTATTATTATTATTATTATTATTATTATTATTATTATTATTTACTATTTATTTATTTATTTCCAGCCATTTCAAGGCAGTTGCTCAGAATCAAAAGATAGCTCTAAATCAGCAGTTCATTTATTTAATAACTTTAAAGGCTGTTCCCTATTAAACAGGACATGGAAAATCTGTTTCAAATTAGCAAATTGAATAAGTCAGAAAAACAAACAAACAAACAAACAAACAAAAAAACCACTTCAGTGTTAAATTTTTGACTTTATGACCAAAATCTCAACCTGAACTGATGCTGTGTCCATACTACTAAATATAGAAGTGCCAAAACCGAAACTCTGGCCCTGACTCTAAGTGGCCCAAACTGGCTCGAGCATCATGTCTTAGGACAAGCTCTCTGACCATGTATACATTGTATGGCACTTGGCCTTGGCTTTCTTCTGTTCTATGAGTGATGTCCCAATAGTCCTCAGACATAATCATTTTTAATGGTGGTTGGTTTTTTTTTTGTTTGTTTGTTTTTGTTTTTCAGTTCAAAGGATCTGAAATAATCTGAGGGTGGTATTCCAACCCACAAGAGTGAAATTTCTATGGCATGAAGCTGAGGGGGTGTGTTGCATACCCCAGTGTATGCATGACACCATAGGAGCATACTGGAGGATGCAGAGCCCCACGGAATAGCCCTGGGGTGGAGTGCATAGGCCAGTCTTATCTATACTGTTTGGTGACAGCTTCTGGGAAGAGGCTGGACCAGAGCAAGGGAGCAAACAGCAGTTAAGTGGTGTGGGCTGTCAAAGGAATGGGTTTGAGCTCATGTCTTTTTCTCTTTTAGCCTAGACATACCCAGATAAACTAGGCAGCCTCCTCTGTAGGCTTTACCATCCCATGCATCCAAACTCCAGTTGGGTACACTGAACACAGTGTGACAATGGGCGTTGCCGAACAGAGCACAGTTCCTGCAAAAACTCTATTTTTTTATTTTTTTATTTTTTTTTTAGAAACAGTCAGGAGGAAGTCAGCAGAAGGCTGACTATGTGAGTGAAGGGAGACTGGTGGATATAATAAACCTGGACCTTTTTGTAAGGCTTTTGGCACCATCACCCAAGGTATTCTTCTCAAGTTGAGGAGTTAAGGGATGCACGAATGTCTTAAAAATGAATATACTGCCACGTTCAAAATCAACGACAGAAAGCCAGTAACAAGTGGAGTGTCTTGGTGGTCCAGTATTGATCAAGATCTTCATCAAGATTTGGATGACAAGATCATCACCATCATCACCATCTGCTGCACACTGAAGCAAATTCAAGATGATGTTCAGTCAAGAAAAGTGATTCTTATTTGTTATACCAAGAAGCAAAGGTTTAACCCAGAAGGGCTTTGAGAAACATGATTGTGCTAAGAACTTCATGATATCCTGCAGGGAGAAGAAGTTCAGTGTCTCAGAGTAGAATAACTCCACACATCAGCACAGGCTGGGAAATGAATTGCTGAGCCTTAATGAAAGGGGATCTGGAGACTTAAGTTGATGTCAGAATGAAAATGAGCCAAGAGTGTGCTCTCATTGCAAGTAGTACAAAATGCACACTGGGTTACATCAGGAGGAGCATGCCCGGGAAATCAGGGGAAATTATTACCTCATTTACTCATCTCTGGTGAGACCAGTTATGAATCCACCAGGATGTCAAGAACCTTAAAGAGCCTGGTAAAGAGCTTTCAGCAGTAGCAGAAAGTATTATTAGGCCACAAGCACATCTTGGGAAGTTGAGATCAGCTCTAAGTTTAATAAATTAACATAAAGCTAAGAAAACAAAAAATAAGTTCTGCTCAGTGAAATTAACAGGCTGAAAGGAAAGTCATTGCCGGAAGGTATAGTGTAGACCACAGCAAGGTTGGGACTAGCACCATAAAACAGAGAGTGAACAAGGAGTGACACCAAGACTGCTTAAAAATGGGTATTCTGAAGTCTTCATCTTACTAGCCAAAATAACCAGTCACTGGCCTGAAATGCTACAGTGTAGCATGTCATCTGGATATAGGATGCAGGCTAACAATTTTTAAAAGCCCAATACAGGAAATGAAGAAGCAGAAGTTCTGAGATACTGTAACAAGACAATTAGCAGTAAATGGCTATATTCCATGCCCAAAGGGCAGATTGATTTTGTGCTCTTCTAAAAAAGTATCAAATATATATTTTGTAAAAACAAATAGAGTTTTGGTAGTAACAGTGAAGAATGTTTTGGCTCTGGGTATGGAAAAGTCCAGAATTTTATCTACATGAAACAAATACATATTATGTTTAATGTCATTACAAAACTGAACAAAAAAACAATTATTATTATTATTATTAAATTATTATTATAAATTAATATCCAAATTAATTAATACAGAATATAATGATAGTGTAATTATTATTATATTTAATAATAATAATAATAATAATCAGAAAACAATTTTCAGAATTAAAAATCAAAGACAATTTTTGAAGAACATTAGTCATTGCAGACCCAAGTCTTAAAGTTCAGAAAAAGTATCAAATAGAGCCAGCACTTCGGGTTTAATATGAGCAGGTCAATCTCACTTAAAAGCTGCACGCATTGGTTTTTGATTTGAATGAATGGTGGAACAACACCGGCAGAGCTACAGCAGTTGTCTTTGATGAAACAACAATGACAACAAATAACAACAAAACATAACTGATTAAGATTATTAGTAGGGATTGGCTGCATAGACTATTGCCAGGCAAGAAATCCCTAGGGAATAGAACTTGATTCAGAGGCACCATACCACGGAACACTAACTGGAACAGAGAAGAATTTAGGTAAATATGCTGAGAAGTACAGGAAAGACACAATCACTGAAGAGTCTTCAAGCTGTCTTGAGGGGTATGCGATGAACAGAGATAGCATACCAAAATACCCAAAGCTTGTAATTTTACTAGAAGTAGAGGCCAAGTAGAGCAGGTTTTGTAGGAACAACCAAAACCACTGTTTACAGTAGCACTGGAAAAGTTGCATCTTAAATGCCAAGTTGTGTTTATTAGCTGGACTGTATAAGCACTTCCAGTTTCTGTCCTAAGATAACCTTGTCAGAAAATACAGCACTAAAGCATATCATGTGTCTCTTTACTTTATTGCTTACTATGTAGTTGGTAATGGCCAGCAGCAATCACAGTTCTGTGGGCATGATCTCCCTCTGTCTGTGGTGAAGTACACATGAAATATGGACATGATCCTGTTGCTTTCTGTGTCCTCTGTCCTGTCAATTGATCACCAGTGCTATCAAATTCAAAAAGCAGCTATTCAAAATGCTGGGCAGCAAGGCTGTGTTTACCCCTGGTCCCTTACTGAACTCTGCGGCTGCCAGCATAACTGAGGATTTAATTTAGGTTTTCATCACCCAGCACTGAGATACAACATCTAGAGCTGCAAGGCCACAGGTGTTTAATAGAGTGTAGCAAAGCTTTACAAATAAGTCTAATTATTATTCATTAGCATTGCTATTACATTGCTGGATAAAGCTAAGGTTAGGAACCCTGCTTTGCTACAGTTTAGTAAAAATAAATATTGAGAGACAGTTCATGGCAAAAACACTCATTATTGAAATGGTGAGGACATTCCCTATCATCTTCTACATAGGGGACTACGGCCAGAGTCTAAGCCCTGAATACTTCCAGGTTATTAGTAATTATAAGTATTAATGTTAACACAAATATTAGTATTGTGGGATGAGGGGATTTTGAGTGCATATAAATACACTTTGTAGAAAGACCTGAAAGTATTAATCCACTTACTGTGGTTCCAGGGAGCTTTGCAAAAGGGGACAATCTAACCACCAGAAAGCTACCTTGTGTCATGAAGCTTTCCCTGGATTGCCTCACCTTTGTTGATGAACCCATCTGAGCCACAAGATCATGTTGTTAACAGCATGAATAATACTGACTTCATCCTGGGAGAATAATATGAATGTACTGAAACAAAACATTTTGATCTGTGAGGCCCCATATCTGAAAAGACTGCCTGTACAACAGTTTGTGTCCTTTCAGCTCAGAAAGACCCTGAGCAAACTGATAAGGAATTACATGAAGCACACTTGTTTCTGAATGTAAGATTTCCTGTTTAGCATGCTTTCCCTGCTGGAGTGCATTTATTGCTTTGTTTGTCCCACACATCATAGTTTATTTTCTTCTCAGAAGAAGCTCTTTAAAAATTATCAGAATTTAAAAGAGGACAAAAACCTGTTGCATTTTTTATGACCAATCTTTAAATGGGGTATCTCCAGAAATATTTGGACAGAACTTCAAAGCCATTTTGGTAGAATCTTAAGTAACATGCTGAAAGTTTTCTTAACCCAGAAAGGAAACCTTGACCATAACTAGATATCACATTGTGAAAAGCATACAAATCTGTTTGCTGCAGTATTTAGAACAGTATGAGTTATAGTCCATTGGGAAACATGCCTTAAAAATAGTATTATGTAGCATGGACAAAACTGAAGACTATTTACTAGTTTCTTTGTCTGCAGAACCATTGGCATACCTGATTCTTTCTACTGGCTTATCACTGTCATTAACTTAAAAACATAGACTCCCCAGGAACCTAATTTAATATGATTTTCTATCTACGTCATTTGATGCTGGTTTTCAGAAATTGGGAGAAGTGACAGTTCTTGCCCCCCAAAGAGGGGAAGGTTCTTGACCCCTTCCTTCTGTGGGTGTGATGATTTTCTAGGATGGGTCCCTAGGATGGAACTACCTGCAGGAAGCCCACCTAGCTCTGATCCACCAGCTCTCCATGAGCTCAGGAGTTTGTTTAATGACAAATTTGTGATCAGGCAGTGGGGGAATCAGGTGGACTCTGTCCCAGATGGATGAAGTTTGTAACCTCTGCTGCTGGAGAGAACCCTCACCATGAGGTTAAATCCTTCAGGGCTTTCTTTCTGGAAGAAAGAATCCACAGCCTTGGCTTAGACCCTCTTTCACGTTAATTTGCAGGAACAGATTATCAGAGTGTTAGTCTAGGGCAACTGCTACAGAAAATTCATCCTCACCTATATCCAAGTGGCTTCAAAGGAGTGTCTCGCTGTAGGGGAATAGCCACTTAGAGTGTTACAGAGTAATTTTTACTCCCTGTGTGGATGATAACACAGAGCCAGCCAAACACTAAAAGCCCAAGGGGAAAGAAAAAGTGGCTCATGGTAACTGCTGGTACCAAAAGCATCCTGAATTCACCAGCTGCCAGGGCCTCTTAGAAGTTTGTTGGAACATAACTTTTTTCAACAAAAAGGGAAGTGCACTTTTCCAGCAGCTGCAGGGTACTGAATTAGACATTTTTAGAGCCACATAGTTGCCATGCCCACTGCCAACACCCATCAATGATGTACTTGAGAGTTTTCCTGGCTAAATATCAAACTTCCCTGAAATAATCTTCAGGAGCCTCAGTTAGTACATTCAGTTAGTATTGCAGAAAAGTGGAGCCAGCAGATTTGGTAAATATTTAAGATTGGGATTAGCCACTATTTTAAAACACTTTCATCTGATAGATGTTCACATCTTCTATGACACCCCAAATCCTTCCCAGAGTTAAATAACAATAGTTGCTTATTATTGATTCTGTATTAACTCACAAATTATTAAACTTAAATCAGTCCCTTTATATTGGAGGTTTGCTTACAAAAGTGGAAGAGGAATTAAATGCTATTCAGGCCTGATTTATTTCCACTGAGATGGTACTTCCAGTTAGAAGGAAAAAATAAACATTGTAAAGGGTGCTTTGTTCAATCTTTATTTATTTATTTAATAGAGACAGATCCCTGAGCCTGCTTGAGCAGGGAGTATGGTTTAGGTGATCTCCAGAGGTTCGTTCCAACCTCAACCTTTCTGTGATTCTGTAGTAGCTGGCATAAAACTCACCTTCTTGTCATTTGGGCTGTTTTTCACTTAAAGGATAAATGGAAGTGGTAGCTGTTGCTTTTGAGAAAGTTTAGCTGCTTTTAAGATAGTTCTAAGTCTAGGAAAGTCTGCTGAGGAAGCAAGTAGACAAGATGACAAGGGGTCAAGATGGTCATATATCAGTGTACAATGCAAAGACACAAACTGAGTAACTCTGGAAGCTGAACAATGCCTTTTTCTGTTTATTGCTTTGTGCTCAATCTACTGATAGTGCAAATATTTGGAGAAGAAAAGCAGCATAAGCATCACAGAAGCATGTAGAGAGACTAAAGCATCCTGGAAAACAAGGGATGTGACCCTGCAAGAGACTGGAAAAAAGGGTTTTGAGCCAAATTCCTGTGGAAGGAGTCAGAGAAATTCAGTCAGCTTCTTGTATTTGTAACCACTGAACAGCACAAGTCTTCAAAATGGTGGACCTTAAGGACTGCACTGAAACATAGAGGGGATTCAGAAAAGATACTAGGTGCCAGTACTACTGGAAGTAATAAAGACTTGCTGTACACATTAAAAACAAAACAAAATAATAAAAAAAAAAAAAAAAAACAAAAAACAGGCTGGTAGCCTCAAGTCTTTGAGTAGGAATCAAGGATTTATTCTATTGATAGGAAACCAAAGTTGGAAAGAAATTCTCAGCATTTTCCAAATATTACTGTGTTTTATTATTATTATTATTATTATTATTTTTTTCCCCTTAAATTGAGAAGGCTGTCAAGCAGCTTCCAGAAGAAAGAACATAAGCAGTAGTTTCATATCAAATTGTAGAAAATCAGTGTTGAAGGGGACTTGAAGTGGGAAAATGTTTTCCTGTTTAGAAAAAGAATCATGTAAAAGTTGCAATCCCTTATCAAGTTTATTTAACCTCTTTTAAAATCCTCCAGCAATGCAGTTTGAGGATTCCCTTGGTAATGTCTTCAGAGACATATTATTTGAAAACATTATTTTTTTCCTATTAGTTCTTTCTTATCATAGGCTGACGGCACCTAGAGAACAAAATTTCCTTCTGGCTTTTAATGCTCTTGGAAACATTTCCATGCGCAGGAGAGTTAGCTGTTTGGGGATTTTCCTTCTCTGTATTTCTGTGGTGTTTCTACTGATTGTCTTCTCCAGCAGCCTTTTGAAAAGCAAAACAAGCTTAATTTTGAAAACATTTCCTCATAAATCATGTTTCCTGAAGTGCTTGCCAGGATCCTAGTTTTCCTCTCAAGTTTTCTCTGTGTTCTTTACATCTGTTTTGTTGTTATTTTTTTAACATGCAGTCATGCAGTATCCAAAGGTGTCACTGAACTCTTAGACCTTAGAACTACTGATGAGTCTATCTATAGGTTTATTACTCAAAGGGGCTAAATGAAATGCAAAATTTACCTTCTGACTTACAGCACTCCTCCTCTCCTCCTAATGTGTCTCAGAAAAGTATTTGCTTAGTTGCACAACTTTTTTTTTTTTTTTTTCTTCTTCTTCATGTTCTGTTTGTATATCTTTTTATGTTCTTGCTGCCTTTCTGGCTTTTTCCATTTGGGCTATGATTTCTTCCTTCTAAGATTTCTTCCTTCTAAGGTAATAATATATATGTATGTCTTTCCTTCTATTTCATGTCATCATTTTGATGACAGGTTGGTACCAAGTGCTCACTGTAAGTTTGATTTCTATTTTAGTGATACATATCACTAGCTGAAGGGGGCTATTTCATGTGTCATCCCTCTTGGGTAGCAGTTATTGCAACCTGCTCTCAGTCACATCTCTGAATTTTGTGGTTGGTATACAGTAGCTTTATCTAGCCCGTATGTTGCTGCTTTCATTATGAGAATGTAATAGTGAAATTGTACCCAAGGTTTTATTACAAATGCAATAAATCATGTAAGTTTTCATCTCATCAGTTGGATGGGTTTTCATGTCAGAGAAGAAACTAAATTTCCTTAACATGTTTTATTCTTGACAAAACTGAACTGGCCATTTCTTAGCATGATATTATCTTTCAAGTGCTTACAGGCTATTTCATAATTTGTTCCAGTAGCTTTCTGAGTTCAGTAGAATTCCCTGGATTTGTTCCTCTTCTTCGCTTCCACCTCCTGAAAAGCAAATATGACATTCCCCCCTTATAAGTCCTCAGAGCCCACCTCACAGCTGTTAACGTGTAAAGGTTCTCTATTTTAAGAATTTTTCTAGCAAATGCAGGTAAAGAACACAATTCATAACACACTTGTTGATTTTAGTTATGTTCATCTGTGTTCCTCTTTCTTTCCAAGGTTTTAGTTTGGTTGATATATTTTATCTCATCCTCCAGTCTAGATATTTTAACCAGAGTTTGGTTAAAATATTTCTGAGATAATGCCTATCCCACATTTGAATTCTGCACAAAGAGCCAGAGTTTTTGACACACTCTTGATTGCATTTTGATAACACAGTTCCTACTTTAACAATCTACCATTTGTCATAACCATGCAGTTAGCAACAAAAGGTCTCTGTTAAGCATGTAATGCCAGACACAATCCCAGAAATCAGTGCTGCTAGACAGAGAAAACTATGTAGCATAAGAGGTAGGAAGAAGCTAGATGAAAAACAAAGAAAAAATATGGAGTTGTTGTCTAGTTTCTAGATAAATACAGATAGACGTTTTATTATGTTTAAAAGTGGAATATTTCCCTTTGACAATAGAAATCAGAAATCTAACGAGGGTGAATATTCCAATTAATAAAACAAAAGTTGCAAATAATATTTTGCTTTACTCTCCACAAATATATTTGGTTTAAAAAAAAAAACAGCAATACCCTAAGAGAGGTCTGTGTGACAAAAAATAAATTCTAATGATTCTACTGATCATAATAAACTTTTGTTAAATTGAACAAAAATTTGTAAAAATAGTGACGCTTCCTCCAGCACTGTTGCTTTACAGACCAGAATAACACTACACTGCAGCCCAGATTCAGCTGTTGGCCTTAATACATATTGTCTTAGAAATGTTCAAAAATACAGTATAATAAAACTTCAGTTATAGACAGGGGTTTTGTTTTTGTTTTTATTTGTTGGTTTGGTTTTGTATGCTTGCTTACTTGTTTTGGTACATATTGCTCTTTAAATTCAGAAAATAATCAGCATAGGTTCTCAAAAAGATATCATAAAAAAGTGAAAAAAATATTCATGGTACTTTTAATTGCTCTGTGGAAACCTTGCAGCACACCTATTAAATGCGGTATTGATAACTTGCAAATAGCAGAAAATAACATCATTGACTCAGAGCTTCACATTTGAATTCTTAAGAACAGTGTCCAGTGAAGTGTGTAAAACTTCATTTAAAGGGAATTAGCAGTGGTAAACAGTGTCCAGTACATAGCAGCATTCTGTGTTTGTATCACTAAATTGTGCAACCAAGGAAGGATTCAGTAAGTAATGGCCCTTTATACTGTGCAAGAAAAAGCAAAATCCCCTTCAGGATGGTATTATTCCTTAATCAAGTCTTGTTTAAATTATTGCTTTTCCCAAAGGGAAGGGATTTGGGTGACCTTTTCAGGGCATCATATTGAAGTGTGTTTTGTTTACTGAGCACTTTTGAAACAGCTTGGACCAAAATGCATTTTTGCTTAATAAAATGTATCTGGACTGGTTCCACTACCCTCCCACTCAGCAAAGCCCACAGGACTAAATGGGTGTAACAAAAAGAAGAATTTGGCCATTGACCTACAAGTCCAGTGATTCATACTGGATCACATAAAACTGGCTCCCTGGTAAGTGACTGTAGCTGAGGGCTGCTGCTAATGTTGAGCGTTCCTGCTACCACACAGCATGCGGGATATCCTAGGAAGGGACCTTTCCAGCGGATTCACAGAATCCCTGAATGGCTGAGGCTGTCAGGGCCCTCTGGAGGACATTTGTTCCAACTCCCTGCTCAAGGAGGGACATTCAGAGCCCAGGACCATGTCCAGGTGGGTCCTGAAGATCTCCAAGGAAGGTGACACCACAGACTCCCTGGGAAACCAGTGCCAGTGCTCCATCACCCCCACGGCAAGAAGTGTTCAGGTGTAGCCTCCTGTGTTCCACTCTGTGCCCATTGCCTCTTGTACTGACAGATTTGCTGCAGAGTTGAGGGGGTAGTAAGTGTCCTGGCTTATTAAGAAAGGCTGTGTCATATTGCTAACTGACTTCTCTTCCAAGCCCAATATTCAGACTTAGACTCACAAAATCATTCAGGTTGGAAAAGATCTCTAAGATCATCTAGTCCAACTTTTAACCTAGAACTAAAGTCCACCACTAAACCATGCTAAGTTCTCAATATACAAATTTTTTGATGGTGACTCAACCACTATCCTGGGCAGCACATTCCAGTGCCGCACAACCCTTTCAGTAAAAAAATTTCTCCTAATATCCAACCTAAACCTCCCCTGTTGCAACTTGAGACCATTTTCCCTTGTCTTATCATTTATCATACTTCATACTTTTGGATTTTTCTCTATGACAAAGTCCTTGTTTATGGGCCTGGAAGAAGTGTGGACATTTTGGTCAGAATCTTATCATCATACCAAGATGGTCTGGTATGGAGGTGGCTGACTGTTCATATCTGTATCTTTGTAGGTGCTCTCCACAACGTAGAGACAGACATATAAATCCCCACCTGGGCATTTGTGCCAGGGTTCCTCTGTGAGACTGCATCCTTGAGGCTGCTCATCCCACATAAGCCTGAATATACACACCTGCAAATGAGTTATTATCTTATGGGAAGGGAAGAAGGGAAAGGATATATCTACAGTAAATCCTATCCATGTGTTTACCAGGTATTTGCACGTCTGTGTTATTTTCAGATCCTCTCAGCTGAGATCCGTGGAAGCACAGTCCTTTCCTTTCTTGGAAATGGGAATACCATATGGCCCTATGCATTTTATTTTAGGATATCAATGTACATTATGTATGAAGATTTCCTAATCCAGCAGATTAGCCAGCCAAATTGGCCAACCATGTTACCAGAGTGTTTTCTTGTTCCTGGAGGGCCCCAACCCTGGATATGTTCAAGGCCAGGCTGGGTGGGGCTTTGGGCAACCTGGTCTAGTGGGAGATGTCCCTGTCCATGGCAGGGGGGGTGGAATTGGATGATCTTCAAGGTCCCTTGCAACCCAAACCATTCTATGATTTTATGATTCATTCCATGATCCTAATTTTCTCAACCAGGGAGCTATTCTCTCTGCCTGGAAAAATTACCAAGAAATATTGTTTCAGAGAAAATGTTTTGGAAGCATCATCCCAAGTGGGGATTAGTCTTGTTTCAACTAGGGTAATCTGGAATCAAAAAATGCACACATCTGAGAGTGCTTGCTGACATGTGAATGCGTATAGGTGAGACTGACTCATAAAAGAGCACTAGAGGCTGTTTTACAACAGTATTTCATAATGTATCTGATCCAAAACAAAGCAGGATTTGCTTGCCCTCAGGGATCACTGTGTACATACAGAGGAAACAAAGGGCTTACATCTTTCAACACAAAATATTTCAGTATAAATAGCTCACAGAAATGCAGCTAATCTCTAAGGCCTTCTGTCAACCAGCTGTAGAAGGGGAAGGAA